ACCATATTCACACTTCCCCTGGAGGAAATATACATGTATATAATGTAGGGATGCACGATATATCGGCCACCATATCGGTATCGGCCCATATCGGCTCATTTTTTCTGTTATCGGTATCGGCCTGATAAGAAAATTTGGCCGATATCTTAAAACCGATAAATAATGCATTATTTTAATATTGTGATGTATATCTGATTTATCTCATATAGAATGCGTTTGGTTAAGTTAAAAGAGCGCTTCAGTTTACCGGTGAACCGGTGATCCTCAGCGCACGCAGCTCAAACAGCAGTGCACAACATTAATAACTATGATTGGGAATGTTGTGTATATAACATTCTAATGAGAACATTATTATAATAAAACGTTGTGAATTCTTTGGGTTTAGTTGCCGTGTTTCAGCGCGTTGTTATGGGAAGAGCGCATCCACAACAGGATCACACATTCTGACTATAGCATGCAATAACTGCGTCATTTTGTACATATATAAGTTGTAATATTATGTTTATGTGGTATTAATATTAATCTCAGGATGCATTTCCTTGAGTTAAATAAGCTGCCAGCAAAACACTTCAGTTTACCGTGTTCATTCAGCTCTTCAGCACGTGCAGCTCAACGGCTGCTATTTAAAACAGTGGTATTAATTTGTTACTTTTTCAAAATCATTGATATATTATTAATAACAACAACCACTTGTATTTTTCTCTTATTATTTTCATCAACAATATGGTTTAGTAATTAAAATCATTTAATTATTGTCCGTGCAGAGGCTATTCCGTTTTATTGATCTATGGCGCATTCATTTTGATTCTTTACACGTGTAATGATGTCCAATGACTTGTTTGCATTATTTATGCATAATTTTATTTATTTGTAAGACTTTTTTATGACTAAATTTGGTAATGGGAGAGTAAAAATATTTTTAAAACGTACACCGTTCAAACTAGGCTGCTTATGTTGAAGTGTTTGGGATGTGGCTTTTAATGATGAGACCTTTTTTGTAATCAGGCTCTCAAAAAGTATATAACAATTTGGATATAGATTTATCGGCCAACATATCGGTTATCGGCTTTCAAAAATAAAGAATAATCGGTTATCGGCCAAAATTTTCATATCGGTGCATCCCTAAAAAAAAATACCGTCATGTACCGTGAAACCGGTATAATTTTGAAAAATACTGTGATATAAATTTTCGGTCATACCGCCCAGCACTAATTAGAACATTCAAGCAGTTTAAAAAAAATTTTTTTTTTTAAATGTGCCATAGAGAAAACATTGCTGGCGTGCATCACGATACAAATCAATGGCAATAACATTTTAAGATATGTCAGTGCAAGTTAATTTCAGTTAAGACAGTCTTGCACCAGGCTTAAGCCTTGTCTATGAATCTGCGCATTAAAGATGTTTTTAGATAAAATTCTGTGTCTGTCCCTCCACCCGAGCAGGCCAGAATACAACCGAGGAAAAATAGGTCAGGCTTAGCATTTGCTTGAGCATAAATTTATGATTTATTTCTAAAGCCCTTAATTTAATTTAGAAGAACGAGTGATAGACTGCAGTGACTCAGAGAAAAAGTCTCAGACTGATGGATGTCACTGATGCCCGTTTTCCACCGAAATTGTGCTGGTTCTCATAGCCAGCAAAACTGCAAACAACTCGAGAACATGCAAAGATTTTGTCTTATTTAAACACATTTTAACATCCAGTGCTATTTAATTCAGGATCGACGCAGTTTTGACACACCCATCAAAAGTTACAACGGTCATAACTCAGTCAAGTAACATCCATAAATGTTTTTGGGTAGACGGAAAAAGTCAAACCAAGTACCTAATTTTTTTTAACATTCACTTACGCCGGTTGCAGTTTCTGGCCCAAGATTACCATGTTTTAGGTGGTGTAGCCAGTTTTTTTGAGGTGGGTTAAAGGGGGCTTTGGAGGTGTGGCAAAACTTAGCCAATCACTATAATTAATCAATATAACCTAATGCTTGTGAACTTACCTGAGGCCTCTGCTTGTGCTGTGACTGGCTCTGTGTCTGACCCTGCGTCTGCTCCCAGTTGCCCCGGGCCCGGCTTCCGCCCACTGAAGTCATCATTTACAGTATATACAAATAACAGTATTTACAAAAGGAATAACACCTTTAAAAGAGAAGCAGATGGGAAAATGTTACTGACAACTCTCCAAAAAATTCAAATAACAATCGTAAAAACATCACACGGTCTCGACAAACCACTGAATTAACATTAAATATGCATGCAAATAACAACGCTACACCATGTGTAGCCAAAACTGGAAGTAAACAACGTTGCTGCCTGACGCACTACCCATAAAGCGACGGCCCAAGTTTACCAGAACACCAACAGAAATTAAATTCTAGGAACTTAGAAAGCTTTGAAAAACAAGACCAAATACTGTTTACAAGTCAAGCTGCAACAAGTCAACCATAAACGCGCTTCCGGGGCTCAATATCCTCAGTTTAAAGCTTCTTTAAATGCACACAAAAACACCGTAGCCCTTCACATTTGGATTAAAATTACACCAAAAACTGTCCACCTGATGCAAGTTGCGAAATATTGCATGTGTGGTTATGCCAAACAGCCCACCGTAGCAGCTCTGCGCATAAGGAAATGTGGTGGAAGAAAGCAACTGCGCACTTTAGATCGCGCACAGAATCGGCCAGCGTGATAGAAGCACGCGGGACCAGCCGCGGGAAAACAGACGGACAAAGCTGAACAACAACAACAAAAACTCAACGGCCTTTGAACGGGCTGAGGGCGAGGATGTAGCTGTCAAACTGAGACCATGTTGGAGACGTGAACACAACCACACAGTCCATGGGTGAAAGTCATTTTATATTTCTTGAGCACTCACACTATTCCATACAGTAAATAAAACAAGGATATATGCAACAAGTAAAGTGTCTAGGAAAAGCAGCACATAAAAGGCATTCGTTTCCATGCATTGGAACGTAAACATTACCTAAGAGTATTCAATCTATCTGTAAAATAAGCATCCAACAGGTAACCTACATTACCTGTAGTGCTCTACATCAGATCTGCATACTGGGAATCCCATATTAACTTACCGACTAAAAAGTAAGCAACTGTATAAACTTGGTTAATAATAGAAAAAAAAAATCTTAGGAGGTGAAGGATTATGATAAGTCCAGGCGATGGGCCTTGGAAAAGCAACTCGATATAAACTCAAACATGCAGATCTAACGATACGATATGAAAAATGCGCACAGTTTTTTATAGTGTTAATAGGTTATTGATACGTTAAATAAAATAGACAAGAGCTAGATTATGGGTGGCTTCCGCTCTGGCCGAGTCTAATAACCTCATGGCCGGTTATCGGGCATCATGATGCTGCTGCTGCTGCCCCAAAATTAAACTTTTCCGGTTGCTAATCAACTATATGGTTTCTCAGCGTAGATTAAAGAATAGTTGGGTAAATTGTTCGTTAGATTATTCGACACGATAATATTTTGCGTCTGCAAAACTGGAATGCACACGCCCCCCGGGGTGAGGCGCACTCCCGTCGGTTCCCCTGTACACTCGACACCGAGGCTTCACCGAGGCCTACAGGCCCCGAATGATAAAAAATGAACAACAGGCGAGGTACTAACCAAAGACCCGGCTGGATGTCAGAAATGTGGAGATAACGCCGACCGACGGAGGCTTTATTGTCGACCTCCTAATCAGACGGAAACAAAACACGAACTCCTTCGCGTCCTAAATCGATTCCCCAAAGCCGACAACAAGGCCGAACCGACTCGCGCAGACAATAAACGAAAGGCTCAAAATGTACCTGTTTCTCTTCCACAGCTGACACCCGGATCACCGCGTCACGTGGTTTATCACAGCCACTGCGGCTTCACGCTCAGAGCTCAACCACGTGACGCCAACGTACGCATGTATATATATATATACCAATAGTCTATAATAACAACTTAAACCAGAATTATGCAATATATAATGTTACCCTCTAGCTGTAGTTGGGTATTTGTAATGCAAAAGCCTACCTGATCATTGATACTGATGTCAAAAAATACTTATGACAGCCTACATATTCCGTGAATAAGGACCTTGAAACTAATTTTAAATTAACTTATTTATTTAGAATAAACAATAAATAAGAACAGAATAGGTAACATGGTTGCAAATGTAGCCGTAGGTCGGTAGGTTAACTTGTTTGGGACCAAGTCACCATTTACATACGAATCTTTTGATTAAAACTAGTTACTTGTAACCAGTGCTGGGTAGTAACTGATTACACGTAATCTGGATTATGTAATTAGATTTGAACAATTAAGTATTTGTGATTAGATTAATTCAATTTTAAAGTGTTCATAAACAGATTACAGTTACTTTTTTGTAGATTCGGTTATCGGCTTTCAAAAATAAAGAATAATCGGTTATCGGTATCGGCCAAAATTTTCATATCGGTGCATCCCTAAAATAATGTAAATATAAAACAGCAGACAGGCTTATTGAAAGTACAAATTCACTCTCTGCCAGCAGGAGGCGCTTTAGAAGCAGCAGAAACAGCATTTTTCCTGGTAACGGCTGTAAACAAAGCAGCTACGCTCATCAACGCTACTTTATCAGGCGTTATCCAGCTTGTGGGTTGTGCGAGACTTCCGGTTCATTAACCGCTGTAGGAGAAATAACGAGAAGAATATCAAAGTGCAGTAAACTACAAACCAGTGTGTTCGTCATTGAGATAATACATTAAAACAACACCGTAATTTGCAATATCAAGCAGCCAAATGTGCTGTTTTGTACAACTAAAAATAGCTGGAAGTGAATGACACCGAAAGCCTTGCACATTATATTTACAAATGGCCGCGCCGCTCTTACAGGAAAAAATAAGCTGGATAGGAAAGTTGAAATAAAAATGACATCAAAACTTACATTCATATAAAATGCCAGGAGAACGCTGCTTTGGTTAAATGTTTTAATGAAGTAAAATGACAAGCAAAAGTGGATGAGTAAAATCAGTTCACGGCATGAACTTTATTACAGGAATGAAAAACACAGATGTGCCCTGAAAGTATACATCACCGATTGGTCCGTCGAGGTTCCAACAGCCGAAAACAAACAGTGTATGTGATTAAATGAGCTGGATGAGGAGACTGGTGTCTGATGCGTGTGCTGATGAACATACAGCGGGTCAGTTAAAGGCGGCGGCGGGCGCGTGGCTCCTGCGGTGTCTGCCGGGCAGCACGGGAAAGTCCTCCGGTAAGAGTGCGTGTTCTCGACAGGTGGGACACGTGCTCTGCTCCTTCAGCCACGACTTTATACACTGAAACACACGCACACACACACACACACAGCATCAGTCTACAGCTGCCAGACGCTCAGGAAGACGTGACGAGAGCAAGCGTCCTGACCTCTCTGTGGAAGCTGTGGCGGCACTCCAGGACACACACTTCCTCTGGACTCATGTCCTCGTGACAGATGATGCACGGATCCTCCATGTTCAGCTGACGGCACACACACATTCACATGTTCAGTGAGGTTAGAGTTAGACGAGTGCAGTGAGTTTAAGTGTGTGTGTGTGATTCTTACCGCCAGCGGCGTGTTGCGGTGTTTCTCCGACACCGTCTTCCACACGTGTGGAGGAGTCATGTGACCCGCAGCGTCTCCACCTGTGATGTTCATGTGCTCCTGCAACAGGGAACCACATCGTCACTCCACAGCGCACACACACACACACACGAGAGAGAGCGAGCCGGTTACGCACACACGTGTTCTCCTGATGATCCAGGATGAGCTGAGCCACTCGGTTGATGACGTCATCATAGGTCAGCGCGTTGAGAGCGCCTCCGCTGGACACACGGACCTTCTGGATGAACTTATTCATCACCATCCTACACACAAACACACCAGCGCTCAGAAGACTGGAATGAGGAGGATTTATTTGTGTTTCTGAAAGAAGTCTCTTCTGCTCACCAAGGCTGCATTTATTTGATCTAAATACAGTAAAAGGGTTTTGTTTCAGAAACATGAATGCTGTTGTGTGTTGTAGCCGCACCTGTTGTAATGAGGGAACATCATGTGCAGCCGCTCCAGGATCCTGTCGTACACAGAGAGGTGCTGCGGCGCTGAAGGCCGATGGCTCACAGGCTCTTCAGGAAGTCTGTCCGCAGGCTTCGGTGTGCTTCTTCCTGTGGGGGTGGGTGTGGGGGTGCGGGCGGCAGGAAGTGACCCGTAGAAGTGAGAGCCGGACGGCTGAGGAAGCATGACCTGCAGGACACACAAACACTGATCAGATGACCGTTCATGACCCCTGACCTTCAGGTGACCCACGGATCTCACCGGTAGAGCGGGTCCTGCGGGGATGCTGGGAACACTGATATCAGGCAGTGAACTCAGTCTGGCGCCCTTCTTCACCTGATCCATCTGAAGCTCAAACTCCATCTGAGAGAAAGCACAGAGAAAGCACTACAGTGTGTCTGATCTGTTAATCAGAACGGATTGTGTCTCAACACAGAGCCGTGCTGTCGCGGGTCGTGAGAGAAGACAGTAGCAGAAGGAAGCTCACCTGAGTCCTGTTGGTTTTGTCTTCGGCATCACACACGTGTCTCTTCCAGTCGTCTACGGCTGACAGCAGTGCAGTGGAGCGGAAACTGCAACACAATCAACATCACAATCATAACACCTGTAAATCACACTCTGCGTAAACACCTGAGAGTCTGCAGCGTACCTGAGCGACGCCTCTGTCAGGTGTTTGACCACCATCTTCCCTTCAGAGACGCTCATCCTGAGCCGCCGCAGCGCGTGTTCAGATCTGCTCTGCAGGACACACAGCTGAAGCACACACACACACACACACCAGTGTCAAGTCAGCGTCCAGGAATTAACACATCCTCAGCACACGGGCTGAAAGCCTCACCTGAGCCATGGTGGATCTCCTCTGGGCCTTCACACACGTGTCTCTGAAGTGCTTCACCTCTTCTTCTAGACTCAGCCGCTCAGACGCACACTGGTTACTGCAGGACGCGTGCAAACACGTTAATGCATCAGCGTGACACACTCACTCACAGACACCCACACACACACTCTCAGTGACACACACACACACACACACTCTCACACAGAGAGATACTCACACACACACACACACAC